CTATAATGGATATCAACAATTCACTGACCAATTGAAGGCATTCTGACATTATGAAAATCTCACATAATCGGTTAACCTCCTCGCTCGAGGCTCTACCAAACTGAAACTCGATTACAATTTCAATGACTGCGTTTTTAAAATAAAAATGGTTTTTGAATAAAGATTCAATGTAAAACAGTGATACACTTTTAATTTAATCAGAGACAAATTTTTGGTGGGGTAAATAGAATTTTTCTAAAATCAGAGGGGAGTAATTTATTTAGCTCACTCAAGGGGGGTGTAATACGGACCCTGCGGACCCTGCGGACCCTCATCAGAAGCTATGAGTAATATTGCAAAGTGTAATTTTTAAGACTCGAGTTAAAAGTTAAAAGTCGTTATTTTTCACAACTTCTTACAATACGATATTTGTGGTTTTTGCATTTTTCAAGATACGTATTTTCTTTGATTGAAAATATTTCCGTAATACTGCTTTTGAAACATGTAATAAACATCTGCCGGCAGCTATCCATTTGTGAACGTTTGATGTTGTTTCTTCCTCCCAATTCTACCCTGTCTGACTCTACCATACAAATAAGACATCATATTTGTTCAATAAACAGGAATAATGTTGATTTTATCGAATGGACGTGGACAATGAACTGAATGTGTTTAATATCTGGATGGAAAAAACATCGAATGAAGGCAATAATTTCCAATTGTCAAGAATTTTTCGATTGAGTCAATTCATTGATTTTGCATTACAATAACTCAAAAACAGAGCTGTTATAGGCACTGCAAAAGTGCGGGAACTTGAATAGGTGCGGCACCGAGCTCTTTTTGAAAGTATAATTCTTGAGTATTTTTGAAAATTTTCAAATTTGCTATTGTTTTAAAGAAATAATATGATTTTATATTGCTGAAAAAAATATTAAATTATAAATTATCGAAATTTATTTTTTGTGATTGTACTAGTCAAAATCTAAGTGCCGGCACCGATTAGGTGCCTATAACAGCTTTGCTCAAAAATAAAATGGTTATATATTGATGGGGGTGGTTATTATTTGCTTAAATCATTCTATTTGGCCATTCCATTTGAGCGATCGCATTGACGTACATACGTCACCGCTTTAGCCTATAGTATTTTCTCCAGTGAGTAAATAAATCATGTTTCATTCTCAAAATAGAATTCTATATCGTCACTTTTTCCACATGGACTCCCATGAGTATATTATAAACCAAATCAAATTACGGATTTTCTACGCTTTTCCATCTAATGTATAAAAGTAAAGATGTGACTAAGAATGAAATACAACTCTCGTTTGCTTTATCGTTCAGTATACAGTTCTGTGAAAAAATACATTTCTATCCGGCAGATGAAGAAAATATCAATGTGGTACAAGCTCAAAGTATCAATAAATATTAAATAATCACTAAATCACAAGTAATGCTATGCACGGTCTGAATCAGAGATTAAAAAAAGTAGAAGGAGGAAAACCATAGATTCAGACAAAACAATAAAATGATATTGTATCACAGTTACAATCTCACAATCAAAGAAGTGTAGGAGTGAGTGGGGCTAACACGTACACTTGCGAAATCTCCAAAATCAAAGCTATGCGTTTGCACTGCTTAGTAGCGAGCATATTTGAGTAGTTTGGAGCTAAAATGTAATACAGAAAAGTTGCGCGGAAAAATGTCGATGATGAATGAGCGAAAAAGGGATAACTAAATATATAGTAATCAAATTTTTTGCAAAAAAAGAGGTGGCTGAACACTTTTTTGCGCGACTTTATCCTACGCAATGAAATTATTCTGTAGCGATATGCTGCCACTATTTAGTCAATAACCTGGAATTCAGCCGTCCAGCTGTTGAATCCAAGTTAGCTGAATCCCCAATATGTTGGTATTAGTGAAATTATAATTTGAATGGAAAGAAAGAGAATGGATACTGAAGCTTTCCTGTTTATCTTACAATCAGTCAAATCAAAAATACGAGCAATCAATGTCTAAATCTTCGTGGCAAGTCAAGTTATTGCGCTTTGGAGGGGGCGCCAGTGAACATAAAGAAAAGAATTTCCGCAATTTTTTCCTATCCCGAATGTTACATCTCCTTTGAGTTTATCGTAAATGAAAGCTCGTAACGAGTTCGATGAGAACAACTGAAGTTGACTCAGTAGCGTTGATACTGTTGCTGCTGGCTTGCGATTGTATAGCGTGCACACAATATACCCATTTTGTCTCCCATAATTGAGTTTATGTATGACCTGGAAGGTGAGACAATAGCAGAGCACGCATTCATTATGTCCTTTTTTCTCTGTCTATCTCTTGTCTCTGTAACTGTGTTTTCCGATTGGATTACGATATATTTTGGATAGACCACACATGTGTTGTGTATACATTTTCACGTGGGTACATGATAACCAAACGAACCCATTAAAACACATCGTGTTTGTATTTAGAGCACACGGAACAACCAACGAAGATGTGTATGTTGTTTTTTTATTATTTTTTTCCTAGCTCCAATATTACAGTAGTTGTATTTTTATTTTGTCATTGTCTTCCACCACAAAGTATTGATCGACGACGAGAGTCTATTATCGAATCAATGTGTATGTTTACTCGATGTGTATGTTTATGGAATTTTTAGTTCACGTCTCGCTTTCGATTCTTACGGTTCGTTTTTACTTTAAAAGCTTTGCTGTTATTGTGCCACATTTCTCTTGGGCCGCTCAAAATACTACTTGCCCGTTTACTTTGCTAATACACATTGAATGCAGTGCTTTCCTCATAGTCATTGCGAAAAAATTCTTATTCGAAAAACACAAGTTACAGGTACTTCAATGTGAATGAGTCATAATTTAAATTTTTTATCAGTTACTTTCCATATAGCCTTAAACGTAACGACTTCAAACCGTTTTCACTTGGACTTTGGTCCGATTTTTTTTCACTCTTCTAGGAATAATATTTATTTTGATAAATTTTCGTAGAATACCCTTATTTCGTTTTTGTGGTGTAAAAAGAACATTGTAATATGCAATTGGGTTCTTGTATATAAGTCGGTGTGAATTAAAAATGCCGGGATGTGTGTTGGAAGTGGAGTATGCTATATTTTTTATTGCATAACATAAAATAAGTGATATCAGTCCAAGCGAAGTGTTTGAAACCTTTGATTCGTATTAATTATTATCATGTGATATTGAGTTTAAATGTCCTACAATCGAATTAAAATATGACTACGAATAGAAATATTTCAGAAAATTCTATTCCACTCAATTAATTTTCTTCCAATCACTTTTGAATTACTTATGACTTTTAGCAAAGTTTTGCTTTTGCTAATTGTATTACCTTCTTTTCAATTTAAATTTTGTATACTTTATCTTCACTATCTACATCAATGTTGATGCTAAATATGTGTTCTTAATTGTTGAATAGATTTGAATACAAGAAAAGATTTTTAAAAGAAGGGATACTGAACATAATAAAGGAAAAACAGGTACTGAGAAGTACTGAATTTCATTTTAGTCTAGGATAGAGCTGTCCATGAACCGAAAATATTCGCATTTTCGTTTGTTCGTTCGTACCCAAATCTTGTTCGTTCGTTCGCAAAATTTTTTTTATCGTTTGTTCGTTCGTTCGTATGTGTTTTTCACTTGTTCGCAAAAGAAGAATTCTTAAGAATAAACAATTCCAAATACATTTTTTTTTATAGTGAAAACTCATTTTTTTCGAAACTGATAAACTATTGAATAAAGTTTTCCATGATTTTATGTATAAAACTTACACTTCTTCAAATAGAAAATTGATTCTTCTGCGAACACATCAACGAAGCAGTCTGCTTCACTATAGAAAAATTGTGCGCAATAGACAAACGAGAATGGACATATTTTGGCAACGTTGCATTGTTGCGATTATAAATGGACGTAAATTCTCGTTACGTCTTCATTCATAATCGCTGTGATGCAACGTTGCCAGAACATGTCCATTCTCGTTTGTCTATTGCGCACTATTTTTATACAGTGATGTGTAAATGATACGGTCAAAATTTAACGTAAGTGTGAGCGAAATAGCATGAGATTTCGCTGGAAATTTCGGCGTCCGAGGGAATAGGAACTTTCGAGCTGGTTGAATGATGGCTCAATGGGAAACTATCGATTTGCATTATAGGGGTTTGGGGGCAGTGGACACATTATTTTTGCCGAATTCCGCTCGGAAAGACGAGTTTTGGCTATGTATAGATTTTGCCATATAAACCAATGTAATCACAGCGGCACATCGAAATCACTCTGATAAATAAATAAATGAAACCAAACTGAAAAATGGCACATGAACAGAACAATCGAAAAAATATAGCAAAGAAGCAATATGCGAAAGAACGTAACATGAAAAAGTAGATTCTTAAAAACGTTACATGAATTCGCACTGAAGCGCGTCATAAGAATACTGTCGCGACGGCCACTCATGTTACATTCGCAATGGTTGGAAATTCATGTAACGTTTTTAAGAATCAATTTTTCTTGTTCGGTTCTTGCTGTAACAGATCTGTATTCCCATTTTTATGCTCAGCGACACATTTATACTTGAAATAAAGCTGAAAAAATTAAAAATTGCAATAAATATAATAGAAAAAAAATTAAATCACATAAAATTTGTTGTGGCTACGATTAGTAGTGATACTTAACATGTAGTACTCACGATACTTTTGTTATTTCTGAAGCAATATAATACTTTAAACGACAATTAAAATGTCGGTTCATATTGGATGAAAAAAGATATTTATGCATTTATTTTATTTATTTGTTATTGTTGCTTGGACTAAACGGATCTCTTATGGAGACTTTGTTACTATTATATATTAACAATATTATGGGGGTATGTGCAAAACGTTATAGAACAATTTTCTTGACGTCATTGTGATTTCCAGTTTGAAAAAATCTTACATTCGCATAATAGAATTATTATTATTTAATTTTAAAAAAATGTCAATAACCGTAATTATGTGATAATTGATTATATTCAAGTTACAGAGTCGTTGCTGTTGTGGCAGGAAACTCTGAGGCGGTTACTTTGTTTGGTTTATCACCAGACACACAGTACCAACTTACGGTTACAGCCGTTTGGAGTGGAAAGAAATACCGTAGTCGACCGATCGTCTTTAGAACACTGGGTAAGCTACACAGTTATTAAATTTCATGACAGAGCTTTTTGGCTTGTTTGTATAGAAATAAATCACTTTTGGGATTTGCTTGTAAATTTCAGCTGATATATCGACAGGAATAAGTTTTCTAAAAATCTTAGACACTCATTTTTGTTCAGTTTTTGACGAGGAATCGAGTGGCAGCTTCAGTTTTCATTTCTGATTACCCGTTTTGAAAAATTGACCTGGTTGAAAGTAGTAGGATTTTAGTAATACACGAAGTGTAGGAATGTAAAATAAAGACTAAAATGGTTTATTCAACTTCAATTATAATGCGGTTCCAAACCGTATGCGTCGCGTATGTGTGACATACGCGTGCAACGGTTTATTTTGGCGTTTATTAGTCGCAAGGCGCACACTATTGCATACGAATGCGTATGCAGGTGTGTGCCTAGTCGGCTTTACATACACTTTACATAGCAAATTAACCACTACAGGATTGGATTTCATTTTACTTTTCCGCAAACTTTGTTTGTTAAGAGAAGTATTGGTTTTACTAGTCAAAATTTCATGACATCTCCTCTTTCGGGCCACTATAACGTCGTGCCAAGAAGACCTATCTGCTTCCAAAAATACTTTGTTTACTATGAAAAATGTGCAAAATTGCGATGTGCGTATGGCTTCGTTCGCGATTCATGTTCGCTGGATATCTCAAAAAGTTGACTACATAATTGAGATCTGTAAGAGCCAGAAGTTTTGGCGTGTCAAGACAAAGGTTCGGATTGATTTTGAGCCCATTCTGATTTACCAATTTTGTACGATAGGCCTCCGACTGATGACCTGAAAACGCTTGTAAAATGACACTTTTGTATGAAAAATCGCCCAAAAAGCCATTTTTCAGGGTTTTGGTCAAGGCAAACTCATATTTTTGTGCAAAAATAATGAAGGTCTGTGAACAACCGAACACCTACTTGCCCATAAATTTGGCCTGAAATCGACATTTTTTGAAATTTCCTCCGAAAAATACACTTTTGTATGAAAAGTCACTCAGAAAGCCATTTTTTAGAGTTTCGGTCAAGGCAAAATGATGTTTTTTTGCAAAAATAATGGGTATTTTCTAATAACCAAGCACCTACTTGCCCATAAATTTGGTCCAAAACCGACATTTCTTGAAATTTTTGAAATTCTATTCGAAAATGACATTTTTATATGGAAAATGGTCAAAATAGTGATTTTCTAAGCTCAGAAGTGCTATGAAAAGAGTTTTCATTGAAATTTTGGTTAAATACTAAGCGGGAGGTAAACCAAATTGCCACGGAGCGGAAAAGTTTGGATTACGTATGTAATTCGTTTTATTTTTACTTTCACTTCAATCAGGTAAATTTTTCAAAATGGTACGTCAGAAATGCAAACTGCAACTACCATTCAATTTCTCGCCCAAAACTAAATTAACCCTTGTCCGCTGCTCCAACAAAATCACGTATCTGTCGTTACAGTGTAAATTTTACACTCTATATAAAAGAGCTAAGAAAAATGAAAATAATGATAAAATGTTGGGTTTTTCTATATGAAATGGTTGAACGTTCATTATTTCTTCCCAAGAATGAAGAAATAGTTTATTTTTGATGTCGTTTTTAACCCTTTATCACATTTCGGTTCCTAAAGTAACCAGATACGCCAGACGCTATAGCTATGAAACCACTGAATATTTTTACATTCTTGTTTGGAAACAAATGTAGGGAAATGAACTAGCTTTCATTTTATACTTTACAGGCTTCAATCGGCTGGCTAAATGGAAAGTTTTTTCTGTTCATGTACTGCTGTAAAAAAAATGCGAAATTATAGCAGAATTCCACATTTTTCCTCCTCTTATCTTGTGGGTTTGTTCATTCTTTTCAATTGTCAAATTAGGACTCGTAGGACCAAAACACATCAATTTAACTTTCTGCATCATTAGTTTTATGAAATTTAATTTTTTCAAGCTTTTATAGTGATTTGACACTTTTGACTCTTTTCCGATTTTCTCGACAAATACGCAATTTTTCAAAAATCTAAGTATGAGGTCTTTCTCTATTTATTGTGGCACAAAACATATATCAAAATGATTCAAAAACAAAAAATTGTGCATCAAAAGGTTAAAATTTTTCAGTGGGGTTTGAAAGCCATATGTTGGGAAACACTGAAAAATGGATAAATTCCGCCATTATTATAGCCTATAATATGACTATAAAAAACATTTTTGAAACAAATCATGATAATTCCTGACTATTATGAGTAAATTTTTGTGCGTTTGTCCCATATTTTGCTTACTTGGGAGCAATGAATATGTATCTAGAAGCCATCTTCTTTAGAAACATGCAGTCAAACTATACAATTACAACAATAATAACACGTATTGAACTAACATTTTCGGCACGTAATACAGTCAGGTTATCGATCGCTTGGAGTAGTGCTTATCGATCAAATTGATTGAATTGTTTTATTAGGACAATGTAATGAATTCTTTCCATCATTTCCCATATTCTAAACTCACTTATCACGTAAATCGTAAGTTTGGTTTGACATGAGAAAAATATATTGACTTGATAATGTGAGAATTTACTAGAAAATTTCCGATTTTGAGCAAGGAAAATACGCCCTAGGCCCATTTTTGTGTTTTATTTGGTAAAATATTGCTCTAGAAACTAGAAAAACAGTTGTTAAATTAGTTGTTCCCAAAAACAACACCTTTTAGTTCACATTATTGTAATAAATAGAACAAATGTTCGAATAATAAAAACTAATTACGTTCATGAAATAATCATTGGTAAATTTTTTTCGAGGTTGTCCTCTCAATTTTGTCCAAGGGTGTATACTAGGGGCCTCACGCCAATTTCCATATTTGAAATATGAACAAATAATATGAATTTGTTTATGTTGCAACATATTAAACAGAAACGTATGCATAATTTCAATTGTTTCAAACCTGAATAATAATTCTAAGCCAACTTAAAAATTTCATTTATTTGTTCTGAAAATTGATATTGTTTTAAAAGGCTTGAAATTATTATTCAGGTTTGAAGTCTAAGTTTTAAGTCTGCTTCATTTATTTTTCTCAAAATTATCATTCAATGCGTTCAAAATTTGTCCAGGTTAAAAATCTAACTTCTCAAACCTTTTGGAAGTTTTGAAGAAAATTCGGGGAATTTCGAGTTATTTTCAAGCCCAAGAAACTAATCCACGAAAAAATCTTATAAATTGGAAAAATATCAATTTTGGAACAGTATCAATAAGAATGCAGACTCCAGAAATAGAAAAATTGTTGTTTAATTTTTTCAAATTTGATGATCTTTGATCCAAAAAAATTAAAGTGTGAACTAAATAAAATTAATCACTGAGAACTATTATCGGAATTGCAACTAATAATATATATTGGCAACACATATAACCAGGACTGGTGATATTCCTAATACTAGTAAATAGTGGGTACAACTATAACACGAAATTATGGGATAACTCAACAGAAATTACATTTGAATATTCTTTTTCGTGATAACTTTTTTCGTACTGTGGCTAACTCCAAAGTAAGAACGTATTTACAATAGTACGAAAATCTGTGTTAGTGGCAACAGCATATTTGATACCGATATTGGTTGTATTTCCAACAGAAATATTTACGTTTGGTGTTAAATACATCCGTTAGTACCAATTTTCGGAGATAATTTACGAAATAGTGGTAAATGTAGGAATAGTACTAAGGTTCTAGTGTTATTTTATCACTAAAATCGACTAAACACGTGTTGAAGTAAAAGAAATATTTAGACCCTATATGATTTTCGCATTCCGTTTTAAATGAGTTTAGTGGTTTTAGTATCATCAATTCAAAGAACAATGGAAATTTTGGTATCGATGATTTTGTGCAGTTTTGACACACAAACACATACCCATTTCATGTAAACGCACACAGTGCTACATTTAACAGCCTCTGTAAGGATTGTGCGGCTACCCGCTTGTTATTCATATACCAATGAGAAAAATGACTAGAATGACGTTCGGTTTGGCGCCATCTGCAAGTAGGAAGTATTTTGCCATACAAATACGTTCAATTGTAGCTGTCATTGGTTGCTGTCATTGATAGTTGACAGTATATTTATATAGGAGTTTCATAGTTCAGCATTCAGCGCCAAGATGTCGCTTAAATATAGCATAAACACGTGCCCCATATAAAAACATAGGCTAATATCATCATTGCATATACAAATAGTACAGTTTCAGTTATGTACATATATGAATGTATGAAATAACAATGGTTTTTTATTATTCTTTGATAACACGAAATTTTTATTATTCTTTGATAACATAAGTTGTATTAGTTCGCGATGAATAAATTTTTGCAGTTTACATGTTGTTATAAATTATAATAATCTAATTCCATTTAAGAAAATGTTTTTCCTTTTTTTCTACAGATGAAATAATTATTCGAAATCAAAATATATTTTTATATTTGTCTTGTATTTCAGAGCCGCCACGAAGTTCACCTCAACAAGATCCAGGAGCTTTGGAAAGTGGCAATGGGCCTCCCGCACCACCAGTATTTGATACTGGAAATACTATCACATACCCTGACGAGTACAGTAATGTAGCAGCGGATAATTCAACCGTACGCGAACTTCCAACGGTAAGTATTGCACAGGAAATTTATTTCGAAATAGCTGATGTAATATGAAATCGCAATAATGCACAATGACTAAACAAGTTAACAAACAAACAGTGTTAATTGGTGACTCTGAAGATCGGGTTGGGAGTTCATTTTCCTCCACCCATGAATATATGTCTGACAATTATCGCTTTTTATATGGTTCAATGAATATTTTTTGCTATCATTTGTTTTGCAGGTCCGAGGCGTCGAAGTAGGTATTGTAGTTGTAGTATTACTCGTATGGGCTGGAGCGATAGCGTTATTTTTTAATCGTTGGGGTAAAATACGAATGTTACTTCCATATCAGCCGGACTATAAACAAGAACAATTAAAAGTTCCCGGTTAGTTATTCATTCTCAATAATGTTTTGACAGCTTTATTTTCTGTTATGTGATTAGTACATAACCACTTAATAAACATTTACCAGGCACTGGCGTTTGTTCTGCTGGCACATGCAATGGTCAACATTCACATCAGGTAATTGTTTTACTTATCAAATTTTACCATGGAAATATGACATTCTAAAAAAACAGAACGAAAAGAAACAATTGGGAAATTCTGAACAAACGCAAATCTAAGTGTGGCTCGACCAAATAGCAAGAAAGCTCATTCAATAATCCAATAGTTGATGTAAAGGCAAAAATTTAAAAATTCATTACACCGAGAAAATGCCCAAAACCAAATACGCAGAAAATATTTCGTTTTGTCGAGCTTCAAATTGTATATATAAAGGGGATTTGGAAAATCCGATTTTCTACACTTCTTTTAGGGCGCCAAAAATTGGGAATTTTCCCTGGGTGGCAATAGTATTTGCGTCACCTTCGATATCGATGTATAATAATGTTTCCACTTTTAATGAAATTTTCATTTTTTTATTCAACTCATTAAGGATTCTCATTATATTATTGATTTGAATCGTTGATATAGTTATACACATACTGAGTCTGTGTGAGAGTATATGATCTTTGTTGTCGATTGCATAAATATATTGCCGGAATATCAAAAGAGAGCCAATGACATCTCTGAACCAACTCATTGAATGATCGAATATTTCGAGCAACTTTTTTCAATCGTGTGTGGCTTGAGTTGAATATAATCAACTTTTCGGCGACACTAGCAGCTTCTCTGCACACACACATCGTAGAAGTGAGTACAAAAATCATAGTTTTTTGGCAAATGCATCGAGTAACCATTGCAACACATCAATACGTAGTAACGGCCCACAGAGAAGCTGTTAGCGTCGTCGTAAAGTTGATTATATTCTAGTAAAGCCATACACGTTTGAAAAAAGTTGCTGAAAAATTCAATGATTCAATGAGTTGGAATTGAGATGGCATTGACTGCTATGTGTCAAATGACTTAGATTTGAAATGTATTGTGGCACTATATCTATGGTCGATTGTATTTTAGACTCGAAATGTCATAGCTTCGATAATTTACTGAAGCTTTATTATTATTTATTATCAACGTCCTTCAGGACTGATTATTTACATAGTGTACATTTAAAATATACTTAGGCATTTTAATCACATTTGAATCACGAATCATGAAAATCGTACTTTATATTGAAATATTCGTCTGGTAATGATTCTATCGCGTTTTTAAATTCAGTTCTAGAGTCATTTTCTTTAAAAATATTTCCTACTCGGTTGAAATTTCTGCACATGACTAGAAAGGGATTGTTATATAAATAATTAGACTCTACAGTAGGTATTTTAATGATGTCTGTGTTTCTTAAGTTATAACGTTGATTTTTGTTAAGTCATATCAAGTTGTTAAGTGTCGATGTTTCAATGTTCTGTTTCATGAGATCGTAGATAAACATTATGCCGCAATTGATTCTCCTTCGAGCTAGGCCGTTCAATTTGAGTTCCTCAAATCTTTCTGCATAAGGCCTTAGACGGTAATGTTCGTCTCGTTGTTGATTCGGTAGGGCCTACAAGACGAATTGTTTTTGAACTCACTCAATTTGGCGTTGGTATTTATTAACGTTGGGACTATACACTACACTTGCGTAGTCAAGATGTGAACGGACTAGGCGCATGTTCGAATCGTATCTTGTGTGAAGATTCCTCCGATCATTCTTCGTATTAGTGCAAGCATTCCTTTCGCTTTATTCACTTGCTTGTCAATATGTGGAATCATTGTGAGCTTAGGATCGATGAGAATGCCGAGGTCTTTGTGCTCAGATACTCTATGAATCGTTTCTCCGTTCAACTGGTAGTTGAATTCAATGGCATTTTCTATACTGTCATAATGTGGCATTTGGTTTCGTTGAGCTCGAGTTTGTTTGTTTTGCACCATCGCAGAAATTCATCAATAGCTTTTTGAAGCTTTATTGCATCTTCGAAACTTCTTACGATGCAGTAAATTTTTGTGTCATCAGCAAAGTTTTCCACTATGGCATCGACAATTTGCTCCGGTAAATCGTTAATAAAAACCGCAAAGCAAGTTGGAGATTGATGGCCTCCTTGAATTATTCCTGAAGTGATGGCCGTTTCCGATGAGAAGCTGTTATTTGCGTTCGGTTTGTCAGAAATGACCATTGCCATTTCAACATAGCTTTTGCTCACGCCTAATTTGGCTAGTTTTTCCATGAGAATAGAGTGCTGAACTTTGTCGAATGCTTTAGAGAAGTCAGCAAAGAAAACAGAGAATATGGTGTGAGACACACACACACGGAGTGAAGGTTAATGGATATGACTATACAACACAGAGAAAACTGAATTGGTGAACCCTGCCAGTTCTATTGGTGAAATGCAAAAGTACCAATAGATTACATTATTGAACCCTGACGGTCTATTGGTGAAATGTCAATATATATGAAATGTCATTTCACCAATGGAATTTTTCATTTGTATTGGTAAATTCAATACAATAGGCAATGTTAGTAAATTTGTCACTTGTACTGAAATTACCAATACAAATGAAATATTCTATTGGTGAAATGACATATCACCAATAGAACTTATTTGCTTTAAAAATGTTGTTTTGTATGTGAATGTATAGTCATTTCCATTAATATCTGTTACAAAGAAATGTCAAAGCAAACAAGACGAAACATACCCTTGGTTGTTATGTATCAATGGAGACGAACAAATGAATTTTCACTACAGATGTCGCTACATCAAGTGAAAATGTCATTGACTTTGAAAGGAAAAGTGGAGTGTTTTGGCTCAAAAGGGCCTACTTTTTATCCCAAAATTTTCATTTCAAAAATGCACTATGTCGGAAGATATGCGATAGTTGACATCGAACTATTTAGTGAACGATTCCTGGGTGTGTTCGCATCCTATCAATTTGGGATAAAAAGTCTCTGAAATGGCTTTAGGCGAAAAAGTCATTGACTCTGAGAGAAAAAGTGGAGGCTTTGGCACAAAAAGATCAACTTGATCGCGTTGCTTCTTCAAGTTGTTCAAGTTCATACAAATTAAACTCATAATCACCTCGGAATCCCTGTCGAGTTGTGCTCAGAATTTGGTCAAAGAAGAAATGATTTTTGAATGTAAAAACATTGCTTAATATTTTTCCATATCTTAGCGACATCTGTGATTTTCAATATTCAAAACGTCTCTATATTCTCAGGAGTGCGTCCCGGAACATGTCAAATGAGTTTGACATCACAGATATTAATGGACATGAGTATACTATACATGGAATGCAAAAGTTACTAAATTCGTTTTTTTTAAACGTGCTTTCGAACATTTATTTTAGATAATCGTCTGAACTACATGAAATCACATAAAACTTGAATAGAATTCGAACTGATAACAATATAATTAGTTCAATTTCAATGTTCTTGGCATAAAACTTGGGTTTTGAGAAGTTATAAACACAATTGAGTTGCTAAATATACACACTCAATATTATAGCGACATCTATTATTAAGATAGCTTGTAGTAAACACATTCATAGCAATTCACTGTAGTTGCGATGTTACCTATTAAATTCCCCTGTGGTATGTAGTTAACAAGTGTGAAACATGAATGTGTCAGTACTACAAGCGAATTCAATAGGAAACATCGCAACTACGGGGAAATGCTATAAATGGATTTACTACAAGCTATTTTAATAATAGATGTCGCTATTATATTGAGTGTGTATTGTAACTTTGTTACGAAAACGTTGTAAAGAACGTTTGCCTATATTTTAGAGAATCATGCGGGGTTGAATGAGTGAGTCAGTCAAAAGAGTCAGCGAATAGGTTTTGGATTATCAATATAATTGCCTAAATTTTCCTATCTTATGTATGTGCTGCTACGTGTATGTGCATTTGCACGCTGATAGCTTTTCCCCATTGGATAGATTTTGATGGTTCTATTTCAAATGAAGCATGCACCGAAGGGCTTGCGACGAACAAATATATATGAAATATCTTCAAATATATTCAAATATTTCAAATATTGAAGCATTATTTGTTTACAAAATGCATCTTGATATTTCGTATGTTTGACATATTTGGCTATATTTCAAATATTTCATATATTTGAAAATTGAGAGAAATATTTCATATGGATATAGTCAAAATAATATCGGGTAATACCAAAAAGCGTCAAAATGTGGCTTAAATATGCCTTAAATATATCAAATATTCCAAATATTTGAAATATGACGGAATATGCCTGAAATATGGAAATATATGAAAATATGGCCGTATTTCAGGCGTCGCAAGCCCTTCGCATGCACGGAATGAGAATAGCTTATTAAATCAAAATCCATATTTGGTGCCCCAATGGGCAAATATCGTGCCTCCATGATTTCACCCGAATCATGCATTTGTATATCGTCCATTCGACGCAAAATTCAATTTGACGTTATTCTCGTTTAAAAATTACAAAGAAATAGAACAATATTTCACATATATTTTGAAGATAAATTGCAATCCTCGATTAATAGTTTGAAAAAAGTTTAAATCGTACATAATTTTTATATCATTTTTAATGATAGCAATTAAAGCCCGATTTTCACTATAACAAAATGCCCGATTTATGCCGTTTTTAATAGTGGAAATCGGGCTTTAATTGCTATCATGGAAAATGATATAAAAATTATGTACGATTTAAACTTCTTTCAAGTAACTATCATTTTTCATCGTTTTACATGATTCTTCTTTATATTTCAATTTTTTCTCCAGCTGGAGAATGGAAAATATTTTTTTTCAAAGAGTCGAGTAATGAGTTTTAAGTTGTCCAAAAGATGAACAAAGTTAGTCGCTTCGAATGGACAATATTAATTCGGTGTTTCGTGTTTCAAACAAAAATTGAACAAGTCTCGAGTACAGAGCAGATCGACCAAGGATGAAGACTTTGGATTCGCAAATGTGCGACTGGATTCGTTGTGATCGCGCGCGCACCCAAAGAGGTATTGTCATCGTGTCGTTTTCATACTATTGTGTGATTTACATAATTTTGTTGACAACTTGTAAACATGAACGCTGCAAAAAATTATTCGGTAATACAACGGTAATCGTTGTCATG